GGAGCATATAGGATTGATAAATAATATCAAGTTTATTCTTATTTATACAGCGGAATAAATGTACTAAAGATAATGCAATCCCCTGTCTAGCAAAGAAAAGTATGTTTCTCAATACTTCTGCCAGCAGCATTGTCATTGCCCTTTGTGCAAATATCTAGGTGTGACTGTGTCCTGGAAAACTGGCTCTGAGTCTTCCTCGTGTGGTGAGAGGGAAAACATCCCTATGTGAATGTCTGAGGAGGTACGGCAGAGAAGTGTACAGAAGGACCTTAACGCTCAGCTTAAGGTTTAGACCGTGCAAGAACGTTTCAGAGCAAAAGAATCATCTGAATCCCTTCTTAGGAGCTGGACTGAGGTCCCTTCCAGAGGGCTGGGGAGAGCAGCAGCACTCGTGAAGAGGCTGGGTGGTGAGCCAGGCAAGGCTGGTTGCTTCTTCCTCTGCCTCTTCGCGCCAGGTTGGACTCTGACTCCTGGAAAAGCAGCGCCTGTTCAAAGTCGAATGATCAACAATTCAGCGTGGGGCCCCAGAGCAAAGTCAACATTATAAAGTTACGGCTCCAAACCAGTGGGAGGCTACAAAAATGTGGTGGCACGGTAAAAATAGGAGATTTTAAAGGTTGAATTTTTTGTTTCTGAGGGCACTGTGGAGGTTTCCAACAGGCTGTGGGTGATGGCCTCATCCTCCACCTATAAGAAGAAAACCATGTAAGTCTGTTTGGAGGACCAGAGCTCTGGTGCAAATGGCATGCATCAGCAAGTATAGTTGTAGTCTGTGGTCAGTAAAAAGTGAAAATCTAGAAAAGGCTATCAAAATGATCTATCAGAGCCTGAAAGCCAGTGCTGCTATCTGGCAGGTGTGCTGAGGTAGGGAGAATTGTCAGGGTTCGCAGTGAGAGATCAGCCTGAGACAGCCAGCTGGGAGACCCAGAGCTTTGTACTGCTGACAAGTGGTGGGAACTCACAAGGCAAAAAAAAAAAAAAAAAAAAAAGAACCTCTCTGAACCCAGTGTGAAGAATCAGAAAAGCAGAAGGAGGTCTGATTGGCCTCAGGAAAGAAAATGGGAAAAACTCAAATGGGTAGAGTTTAAGGAGAGGCCAAGACTTGTTAGGGTTGAGGAAGGGGGAAGAGGAAGATCTGTGATCAGCTCCCCAGTACGAGCTGCAGGTGTCCAGGAGGGAAGGAGCCGATTGCTGCTGCCATGTTCCTGCAGAGGAACATTTCACCTCGAAGCTGGACAGCACAGCACTAAGTGGCCGTTGAAGCAAGAGAAATTCACGGGATGCTGGTGCAGAAAGTACAGCGGGCCCACAGAAAGGGGCATTGCCACGGAAGAAAAGCTACAAGCAATAAAAGGGAGAAGGGTAAAACTGCAGTTGTGCTTGCCGTGAGGTTGTCCAAATGAATTAAATGTGTGACTGCTTAACATGCTGATATTGTACCTGTATGCAAAGTCTTACAAACTGCAGCAGAGGAACTAAACAAATTACATCAACAGAGAATGTTTTCCACAGAATCCAGAAGGGGAAACACTATCTCCTGCCCACACAGATTTGCCATGCCAGTAAGCACAGTGTGTTTGTGTGCATTTCTGTCACGTGCTCTGGGCTTTATCTCAGGATTTACACTGAGCACACAAAATGGTAAATTTTACTCCGAGGATGTGAAAGCAAATTAGCACCTGCTGACAACATTTGCTATGGGAGCAGAGGAGGGCCGGGGCTGTCACCAACCTGCATGTTCCAGGGTACAGAGGGAGTTAAAGTCCCTTAGAGCTGGAGAGAGACGTGTGTGCCAGATCTGGCTGGCAGAGCAGGCATATCAAAGGGATTTACTATCTTGCGCTGAGACGCCGTGATGGGATGTGCAAAATTCAGTTCTCTCTCAAACAAGTACATGGTGATGATATTTCAACAGCACCACAGCAGAAACTGCAAATTTTTGTGTTAGGAGCCTAGCAAAAGCAAACCGGAGAAGTTTTTCCCTGTGATCTGTGGCATGTATCTCCTTGCAAAAAAAATGTTCTTAAAACACTGCTATTTGGTAGATATGCCTTTTGGAAAAGGAGCGTGCTTTATGTGAATTCCATTAGTTTTTAACATATCTGGGGAAGAACTGATTGTTGTCGATGAGAACATTTCTCAAAGGCGTGACGTCCAGATCTAGATGTGGTCTGTGCTGATTTGATGAAAACCACGCTCCCGTCCGGTGCTGGATTGATGTGTCCTGTGAGTGCCCAAGCCGTGGCCTGGGGGACAGCCTGGTGAAGGTGGGGAGGGGTGGAAGGCTCCATCCCTCGCGCAGCTGGACCACGCCACCTCAGATGCAGGAGAGGCACAGCGGATGCTGCCACCGGGGCTTGGTCCCTTTTTTTGGGAGGGGTTGGTGGCAGCATCCTCCCCTCTTTTGCAACTAGAGGCAGCCAGAGCACGGGTCAGGTCCGTGATGGAGCCCTGGGGTTCAGCTGCCCAAATACAACACGAGGAGGTGAGTCAGTGTTGTGGTTTAGGCCTGGTTGGCAGCCAACCACAATGGAGCAGCTCTCTCTCCCTTCCCCTCCAGCAATGAGAAGGGACAGAGAGCCAGGCTTGGGGTTAGAGATAGGACTGGGATGGGGAAAAATCCCCCTTTATGATCACGAGCAAAAGGCAGACTCGTTAGGGGAAGAAAAAAAGAACATACATTTATTACAGACACTAACAACACATAACAGAGTAGGACAGTGAGAAGCATTGCCACATCTTGAGAACACCTTCCCCCCACCCCTCCCTTCTTCCCGGGCTCAGCTCTGCTCCCGATATCTCTACCTCCTCCCCCAGGGGCGCAGGGGCAGGGAATGGGGGGTGCAGTCAGTGCTGCCACTTCCTTCATCTTTCGGTGAGGGGAGTGTCCAAAACTTGTTCCCCCCTGCTCCATCGTGGTCCCCCTCTCACAGGAGACAGTCCTCCACAAACTTTCTCCGACTTGAGTTCCTCCCATGGGCCGCAGCATTCCCCACACTGCTCTGTTGTGGGTCACCAACTTTCTCCGACTGGATTCTCTCCCACGGCTGCAGCCCTTCCCGAGCTGCTCCGGCGTGGGACTCCCCCGCATGCTGCAATCCTCCCAGCGCTGAATTACAGCAGCGGGGCTGCCTTTTCCTATGAGACCCCGGCCTTCTTTGGGCACAGCACCTTGATCATCCGAGCAGGAACAACAGGCTGTAAATCGATGTCTGCTCCACCGTAGATCTTCATGGGTGGCGGGGGGGGGCCGCCCTGCCGTCTCCCCACAGGGTACAGGGGGGTCTCTGCTCCGGCACACCTCCCCCCTCCTTTCTTCCTCCATTCCTCCACTGACCTTGGTGTTCATGCAACTGCAGCGACTCCTCCTCACCAGTCCCACTGCCCGTCACCACGTCCCTTCTTAAATACGTTATCGCAGAGGCACAGCCGATTGGCTCAATTTCCCAAACAGAAGTGGAGCTGACATGGAGCTGGGGGAGCTTCAAGAAGCTTCTCACAGGGGGCCGCCCCGATAGCCCCCTCCCCTGCCACCAAAAAACTCCACCACTCACTCAACCCAGGACAGTGAGGCAGGGCAGGGCTGCCTGTTTTGGTGGCACTGTGGTGACCGTGCAACCGTGCAGAGGGCTCCCCAGGACCAAACTTCGGAACTTCTGTACTTTGGTTTTGTTTGGGAGGAAGGTGGGTGGCAGGGGCAATGTGAGCTGCAGTCTCAGAGCAGGACCAAGTCAGAAGCAAATGTAGGAATGAGAGGATGGCAAAGGTGGACCATCAAACGGGCATCCTTACCACGGCCCCAAGCTGCATCCCCTCTGACTGGGCTTGGGGAGGGTGCCCCGGGCAGGATCGTGCCGGGTCTGTGGGGAAGACATCCCTGCCTCAGCGTCTGCCAGCTGAACCCCAGAAAACAGACAGGAGCAGGGAGGAGGAAGGCAGCAGCTGCTGGAGATGAGGGCTCATGTGGCCCTGAGGCTGGGAGGAGGTAGCCCTGGTTAACACTACTGCCAAGACATCCCTGGGGAGAAGGTGACACATCAGCAGTGCCCGCGTCTCCATCGCCGCCCGGCAGCCCGTGCAACGGGTCTGGGACTCGGCGCTTGAAAGCAAGGGGCTGGAAAGAGGTTTCTGGGGATACGTCTTCACTTTGCAGCGGAGTGGGAACACGCGACGTGCGCGTACACCGGTTCCACCCCTGCAAGTCTGTAAAGCCTCGCTTGAGGTACTGGGCGGAACTGAGCTTCACTGGTGATGGCACAGAACTGTCAGTGCTCCGTGCCTATGGGTGATGTAGAAAATGGGGCTTTGAACAAGACATTTCTCTTTGCAGAATGTCCCAGGCACCTGCGTCCTCCGTGACTCTGGGCAGAGGGACCGCTCAGCTTAGGACTGCACCCCAAGGGATGGAGTGCATGACCAGCAGCGTGGTGATGTGCATGCCCTGCAGGTCCATATCCTTCTGCCAGTACACCACCCTGGATTTGTCCCACTCCACGGGTCTTTCACTGGATGGTCGGCAAACGGGCATTGGCTTGGAAGAGGCAAGAGCAAGGCAGAGAACGTCTGCTTGTGGACATCTGAGGCACAACCTGGTATGTTGTGGAAAGCCCATCTAGCCCACAGGATGCTTGTGAAGCTCTCAAGCCCATCTGAGCCATGGGACATCCTGCATCCCTCACACATGCTGCTCCCTCCCTCCCTCCTCACCCCCAACAGCCTGCCATGCCCAGACTGGCTGGTAGCTCCTGGATTATGGGGCCAGGTTTCTATAGGTCAGCTAAGTTTGCCTGAAAAAGCCCAGTGATTTTTGTCCTTTGGTAAGGAGGGCTGGCTGCCAGCCAGGATCTATGTCCTAGAGGTCAAGGAGCTGGAGAGGCTGTACCAGGAGCGAAATGTTTGTGCAAGCCCTGAGTGGGTGGGGTGGCCCTGGAACATATTATAAGGAAGCATTAGGGAGCTGAGAAATCAACGCAAACTGGAGCAGAGGGAGGAGAAGTGATATGGCAGAGCTTCACATCTGTTCTGTTCTGGTGACCGGGGCCAACCGGGGAATCGGCCTGGGGCTTGTCCGGCATCTCCTGGGGATGCCAAAGCCACCCAAGTGGGTGTTTGCTACTTGTCGGGACCCCAAGGGACAGCGAGCGCAGGTGAGGCTGGGCTGGGACGCAGTGGGCTGTGCTGGGGGACAGAGGGAGGGGGCAGCAGGGTGGAGCAGGGATGGGGTTTAGCAAAGGGCTCGAGCTGCAGCCGGGCACCCCCGGCACGGGGCAGCCGGGCTGGGACGGCTGTGGGACCGGCTGTGCACGGGCTGTGGGGGGGGACAGTGGCACGGGGGGTGTGCCGGCGGCACGGAGCCCCATCCCACGGGAGCGGGGTGCTGGGCGTGAGGCCGTGCAAGGACGGAGATGGAGCGACACGGGCTTTGCCTGGGAAAAGCTGAGCCGCTGCCCAGCCCCTCCTGCCCCGCCGTGCCCGTGTGGTCCCCTCTTTTGCAGGAGTTACAGAATTTGGCCTCCAAGTACCCCAACCTGGTCATCATCCCGCTCGGTAGGTGCCCCGAGGTCGGGATCCCTCACCCCGGTTCCTCTGGTGGGTGCCCGGGTGCTGTGCACACCCCGGGGGTCCCGTGCCAGGAGGGAGCCGCGCCGACGCACGGGGTGCCTGCGGGGACACCGGGCACTGCCACCCCTCCTGCCCATGGCCATCCCCGAGGCCACGTCCCTGGGGGGGCCACAGGGGCCACCAAGCCACCACGGGGACCCTGACCTGCCCTGTGTCATCTCTGCAGAAGTCACCGACCCCGCCAGCATCCAGGCGGCTGCAGCCAGAGTCGGGGAGCACCTGGGGGGCTCAGGGCTGAACCTCCTCATCAACAACGCTGGCATCGCCAAGGTGAGCTCCCTTGATACCGAGACGCCGGAGAACATGATCCACGTTTACACCACCAACACGGTTGGGCCCCTGCTGCTGGGCCAGGTGAGACCCGCACCCGAGCTGGGCTGCGCCGGGGGGGCACGAAGGGCTGGTGTGAGGGGGTCCTGCCTCCGCTCTGGCGCCCGACGGGCTCTTGCTCAGCGAGAAGCTCGTGGAGCTGCAGGCTGGAGCTCGGGAGCTGGAGCCCGGCGGGCTGGGGCGGTGGGAAGAGGAGGGAGGATGCTCCGGTGCTGGTGCCGATGCTGCCCGTTGTGGAAGGAGCTGGTCCTCTCCCCCCGTGCCATCTCCGTGTGTGCCCCCGTCTCCTCTTCCTCCTTGCAGGCGTTCCTGCCCTTGCTGAAGAAGGCAGCCCAGGGGAGCCCAGGCTCAGCAATGAGCTGCAGCAAGGCAGCCATCATCAACATGTCCAGCTCTGCGGGCTCCATTGAGGAAATCTATTTATGGAATCACGGACAAGTTGTCTCGTACCGCTGCAGCAAGGTACTGCCACACCATGCTGCACGTGAGCACAGACACGCTCCTCTCCAGAAGATCTCACGCACCTTCCAACCTCCCCCTCAGTCCCTTCACCTCTCTGTGCTGTGACTGAGCTCCCGTCAGTCACCGCATCCCTCTCCCGTGCCAGGACGGGCCCTCATCTGGGCTGGGCATCCGCACGAGGATAGAGCAGCAGCACCTTGTGCCCCAGGGAGCTGCCTACGCCTGCCCTGCCCTGCCCCAGCCCGCAGCGGGGTCTGGACACGTCCCCTTGCAGCCACCCTTCCCCTCCCACCACCATCCCTGCCCTGTCTCCCCGCAGGCTGCTCTGAACATGCTGACCAAGTGCCAGTCCCTGCGGTACCGGGAGCACGGCATCCTCTGCGCTGCTCTCCACCCCGGCTGGGTGCAAACCAACATGGGGGGCTCAGGATCACAAAAGGTAAGAGAGCTTTTAGCCAAGGTCTGGAAGAAAATTTTATTTGGGAATGCAGAGCTTGCTGTGGATTGAACAGTCCCAGATGTGCTGGGTGCTGGGGAAGCTCTTTGGCAGATACCCTGAGCTGGCAGCATGTGAAGAAAGGAGATGAGAGATGGGAAACTCTTCTTGCCCTGTGCTGGCCTCTCTTCACTCATTCCAGAGAGCCCCAAGCCCTGAGCAATGATTTGCTCCAGGACAGCCCTTAGCCAGGCCTTTGACACATGGCTGTGTTTTTCCTTCTTCCCCCGCAGCCCCCTGTGACGGTGGATGAGAGTGTGGGAGGGATGCTGAAGGTGCTCTCCTCCCTCTCTGAGAAGGAGACTGGGACCTTCCTGGACTGGGAGGGGAAGGTTGTGCCCTGGTGAGATGTCAGCCCAGGATCCTGACAGTAGACCCCTTTGCTGCTGCACCAAATTGTGCCTGTGTATTAATAAATTTTGTCTGTCAACAGTAAGTCACACTGTTTGAGCCTTCCTCTGGGTCTCGTTTTAACTATCACTCTGAGAGTCTTCACTAGTGCTTTGAGACAACTTCTCGGAGTTATTTCTCAATATAATTGCACTAAGATGGTCTAAATGTCTGATCTCCTCTGTCTGGGGTCCTGGCCATCATCCTGGTAAGGTTTTTTCCCAGAGCAGAGAGGGGCTCATCTCGCAGCTCTCCCTCTGAATGGCGGCACAACCTTCTGCTGTATCAGCCACCCCTCCCAGTGAACCCTTCTTTGTAAGTACCAGGGCCAGCAGAGCACTGCTCCTCACTGGCTCCTCTATCACATATGTCAGGAATTTATCACCCTCTGGGGACCTCCTGCGTTGCTTATGCCCTGCTGCGTTGTTCCTCCAGCAGGTATCAGGGTGGTTAAAATACCCCCACGAGGACCAGGACCTGCAAACATGAGGCTACTTCTAGCTGGCTGTGGAGGGCCTCAAGCAATCGTTCCTCCTGATCAGGCAGCCTACAGCAGACATCGACTACAATGACACCCATCTCAGTCTTCCCCTTAATCCTGATCCGTAAGGTCCCAGTTGGCTCATCGCCCGTGCCCAGGCAGAGCCCCATGCACTCCTGCTGCTCTCTCACATAAAGGGTAAACCCCGCAAAGGGGTCCCTGAGCCCCACCAGTATCCCAGGACTGAGGATGCTGCTGTGTGCATCCATCTCCGAGCCTTGTTTGTATCCCAGGAACGGGAACACTGCTGTGTGCACAGCCCCACCCCCAGCAACACTGGCACAGCCTCTCCAGTTGGGACCAAGGAGCTGACCAGTGCATCTGGAGTGCATAAGGTGGGCCCCTGTCTGGAAAACCCCCACGGCTCTCAATGCTCCCCCCCCCACCCCCCATTCTCCTTGAGGAGTGGGCAGGGAGATGGGGATAGCACTCCACAACACCCCCCACACCCTTCCTCCCTCTTGTAGGGCAAAACCTGGCAGGTTTTGGTGGGGTTAAGAAGGGGTCAGGGACATCTTGAAGCCCCTCGGTGGCATGATCTGGTGTCACAGCGGGACATTCCATGTCAGGATGGAGCTGGAGGCCCTTTGGTGACGCCAAAAAAGGAGGTGGAGGTTGTGGAGATGTTTCCTTCTCACCCTGCTGCTACAGGAGTAAACACACAGGGAGGGGGGGACAAAGATGGAAAACCCGTGGCCAGATGGTCAAGAATCTCACCCTTGGTGGTGAGGCTTGCAGAAGTTATTTTCTGAGTGTTATAGACAATATTAGTTATGAAAGTAGCTGTGGAAACACTGGGGCTTTTGCAAAAGGACTGGACAGGGCTGATGGGTGCAACAAGAGCCCTGTCTGATCATCCCTTCCCGGCTCAGGGATCAGTTTGGCAGCCAGGACTCCTGGTGCCTCTTCCCAAGGATCTTCCTCTGTCCCTGCTTTGCTGCCCGCTCCCCAGGTTGAAGCCTCTGTCCCTGAGGGTAGCTGCTTGCCTTACAAAGAGCACTGTCTGCCCGGAGACCCCAGCCACGGTGGCCATTCAGGCTCAATTAGAGGGCAGACAGTGGTCCCTGCAGGGGAGATACGTGGAGGTCCCCTGAGCCTCCGAGCCCTCTGTGGACACCACACCATCCTCTTGCTGGTGTGAACATCAACCTCCTGTCACGTGGAGCACCTTAGATGTTTTTAATTGGGGTGACAATACGTTTAATCTCACTCATCGTCTCCTTGGGTAAGATGGGCTGAAGGGTTGTGAGCTTGCTGACTTGAAGCGTGACACATCTTCCACTTGCTTTCCAGAGATCCTTATGACTTGGGATAGTGCATTAGACAGCACTTGGCACAGGATGAGGTGGGTCGTGCATCCTCTTCCTCCCCTCATGAAACCCTGAGAGCTTGTCCTGTCCAGGCAATGCTGTGCCATCGAGTGCCATCACTTCCCTGCTCTGAAAGAAGAAACAGGACACTGCTGTCAACAGACATGGCATAGACCAGTTTTTCTGGCATCAGTGATATCAATGAAAATCCAGATGGAGTAGAAGAAAGTGATAAGCATTTTCTGGGTCCTCTCTCATCTCCAGTTCCAGAATGGGAAGACCATACCCTGGTACCTCTTTACGGGTTTGTCCCTGTATCTAGGGGAGGGATGTCAGCTCTGCAGTCACTTTTCCCAATAGCTTTCTTGAACAGAGCAGAGGAGAAAGAGCAAAAAAAGACCTGGAGTATGTACTTTCTCTCCAAAGCTTCCTCAGTGTCTCATCTTGGCCTTCGCACATTCAGGGTGGGCAAGGCAGAAGGCAGCATCCCCATGCTCTGACAAGTCATTGGATACTTACAGCTGTTCCTTCTTTTTACCTCCACTGTTCTCAGGGTGTCTGACTGTTAGGAATCAGGACATTCTATGTTTTTAAAAACTACATGTGCACTGTGAACAGTGAGGTTTCAGCTGTTCAGAGATCCATGTTTCATATGTCCAAGGTGGTTACAGATGAATGCAATCTCAGCTGCACTGAAGATGTTCCTGGAAAGAAGGTGGATTAAAGCCTTTTCTTGCCCTTGCACTGCCCTTGAGGCATATGCTTAACTGCTGTTAAGGTGTGACTGAATGCCTAAAGATGTCCTGAGAACAACCCCAGCTTGTTCAAGCCAAACAGGCCACCAAGGAGCAGTTTCTCGGAATGATTCACTGGGTGTCCTTTTTTGATGATACACCTTCAGCTAGAGGATCTCTTTAATTGCTTTCACACTTGGCTCCATACCATTCATCATCATGCAATGTTAGGACAACCGCTTTCAAACTGTAATTTACTGGAGCTGCTTTTTCTAATGAAACTGAGATAAAATTCATGCTCCACATTTATGGTGTTGCCCATGTCCTTGTAAGGGCAAAGACCAGAGTTCCTGCTGACTGTTACAGGCTCCTTCTAGAGCAAAGTGGGTACAAGTCACTTGTAGACGCACCAGAACCAAAGATGGGGACGAGAGTTTATGAAGGGACTCGTTCTGCACCCATCTGCTCTGCCTTCCCACCCAGTGTTCATCCCCCAGGCACACTTAGGAGCTGTTAGCATGGGATTCAACAGGCTGCTCTGGAGCAACATCCTGCCTGAAGCTACCGACACCTTCTCAGAGCCTACATTGTCCTGCTGCAGAGGTGATTTTGTTCCTCTTTTTCTGTTCTCCAGCTGATGTAGCAGTTGTCCCTCTGAGGTGTGAGGAGCTCCTCATGTGTCCCTCTGAGGTGTGAGGAGCTCCTCATGTGTGCCCAACTACTTTTTATAATGGTACAATGTTGTGTGTATGGGACTGTGACATCATTCTTTCGGGCCACCTCTAAAAGACAGGACACAGACTTTGTCTTCAAGTCCATCAGTATTCTTTCCATATGAAAAAGGCAAGTCGCTATGAAATTTTTTGACGATTTTCTCCTCGCTGTGGATGGCACTGGAAGGCTGCTGGAAGCTTTTCTCAGTAGAAGTTGATCCCTTCCCTGTGCTACACCTCATCCTTCTGGACACCCATCAAAGGATGACCAAACTGACTTCTGGTGGCCATGATCTACAGCAGTGCCAACTCTGTAGTGTCCTGCTCTCCTACGCAGTGGTACAGTTGACATAGGAGAATCCAGAAAGAGTGACCTAGAGTTATATCAAGGATCTACCCAGCCCAGCATCCCACTTTCTGTCCTAGAAATGATAATGGAGGGGCTTTGATGAGTTCAAAAGTAGACACTGTCTAGGGAAAGAGTCCAAGACAAGGGGACATGCCCATTTCAGGTCCCATCCTACATCACCTCTTATAGAAAGCCACGGTTTAGGTCCCCTGAATGCTAACAGCCATGGCCATCTTACTGGTTTTGAATCAACTTCTTGGACCATGTTTGGGATGCTGGGGCAGCAGGCGCGGCAGCTTCAGTTCCCTGCATTCCTGTTGTGAACCTGAGAGACTGCAGCTTGCATGGGGCAACGCATGGCAGTGTCATTGCTCCTTGTCAACTCTGAGCTGTGCAGCTTCTACCTGAAAATCTGAGGGGCTCCTATTAGCCAAAGAAAACTTTGTTACAGAATGTCTGAGTGGCCGTGTCTTCCTTGAGCAGAAGACTTTATAAACAAGGTAAAAATGTCCCTGGAATGCTCTCACATATCTCTGTCTCTGTTTCAGACCCCAGGGAGGAGACATCTGGTGGTATCAGACAGATGAAGTCCTGATTTTGACGTGGGTCCTAGCAGTGTCTTCGCGTTGCCACAATACATTTGCTTCCCGTTGGTTGAGGAACTGGGGCAACATTTTCCATAAGGTTTTCCCTGGTTCATCTCTCTCTTCTGGGTGAAATTTCAAAATGGAAGGATCCCAGAATTTCATGCATGTGGATTATACAGGGAAGGTGTCCCTGAGTGGGTACCGGATTCATAGAAGTCCTATGCTTGTGGCAGTCATGCCTTTGGTGAGACTTGAGGGCCCCAAGTGTCCCTAAATACCTGCGTCCCAAGTCTCTGGGGGATAGGAGGAGTGAATTCCCCTCCTGTGCTTGAGTGGAGGTAACGTCATGTCTGACTTGTGAGAGAACAGGGAGGGGTGTGGACATGTGTGCTGTGTGGGGGTGTTCCTTTAGTCCTCAGCAGTAGGCGGTTGAAGACAAGGACAAAACATGGTGCCCTGGGAGGGAAGGCTGCATCTCTTGTGCCTCGCTGTACACAGCAAAGCTCAAGTCACCCTCTATGGAAGAAGACCTCATGGCAACCCACTTTCCCCCAGGGCTCCGTACCTGGTGTATATTGCAAGCTGCTCCTTCATTTTAGGAAGTTCTGCCTTGATCTGCCAAGGGTAAGGGGTCTACCTCTCCCATAGATCCTGTGCACTCGAATGTGGGGAGAAAAGTTGCCTGGAGATGACTTTTGAAAGGCTGCTGAGTGGTGCCAAAGA